CTGACTGGCGGTGACGGAACATGAATTATATTGTTGTCTTGATTTAAAAATTAGGTTGTATTTGGTGATCCTGGCAGGAAATGGTGAATATTATCATAGCCAATAGATTTCGATCACAATCAAACAGGGATATTGGATTGGCCAAAATCGAAATGTTCGCGATTTCGATGCTGTTCGGGATTTCGATGCGTTACCTTACTGTCCGTTTGGGCAGGATGAATGAATTCAACTTTTCTACTCCACCGATTTTGATGATTTCTTTTGCAATCGCTTCATCTTGAATTATATGCGTTGCAGCCTGGGTGTCAGAGCTCCAGCTCATGCGCAGCGTGTGGAGTTTGCTTGCGCTGGCACGCAGATTTCGGCACGGATCTGAACAATTTTAATCGTGACTGACACAGTTGCACGACACTACCCGAACATATTATTTTGAATCTGAGTCAGTATTACTATTCATTGTGCAGTAATACTACACACTGCAACGAACCAGTACGATGAACAAACTTAGAAGACAAGCGTTTGACGCGGTAGCGCAACGGTTAGTGCGACGGCATCCAAGTCGATTGAGGAAGGGGGCCGGGGTTCAAGCCCCGGTCAGTGTCAAACTTTTTCCCGATCATAAATTACATTAAAATTAAATTACATTATAAAACCAACGACATTTTATTCATTCAAACAATTACTAGCGACCACCAACAACCGCTCCCAAATCACCCATCAGAGTGCTCTCGCGTGGTGGCAATCGAAGTCTTCAACAGCTCAGCACGTGCAACCACTGCATCGTCGTGATACCAACGTCCTTGCACATCTGGCGCCTTGTCGCGACGGCCACCCCTGCGTTCGACGCCGCGGACTCGGCGGCACCCACTGCGGCTCCCCAGTCCCGGCACAATGGCACCTCCCGCAGCAATGACTGCCAGTACATGCGTGGTAAGGCACTTTGTGACATCTTGTATGATGCGGTTGCTCGTAGGACAGCCCTTGTGTGGTCCATGGCTTGGGTCGATCAGACGAAGGTACGCGGACTCCAATCTCTTCGGGGTTGACGCACAGAACTTGGCAGACGCGTCGCGTGACAGGCCGAGCGTTACCGACCGGTGTCGATGGAAGCAATCGTCAACGTCTTTGTTTAACGAGCAGTCCCAAGGCATCAACTCGGGGCTGTTGCCAACCGGTCGGCCGGCGAAACGTGTTCCATCGTTCAGACCCAGTTCGGGTAGGATCCACCGCCTGTGGTAGTTCTTCTCCTTCATCCACTGAATTGTCGACTTGCACGTCATTTGGAATAGGGCGTCATGCATGAACATCCAGTCTTTGGCGTGGGCGGTGTTGTGCATCACTGCAGCTGACGCATGGACGATGTGCTCAACGAGCTCGGTGACGCAGATGCTGGACTTCAAGCCGTTCGACGCCATGATAGCTGATTTCCAGTCCGGCCCGTAAAGAGATTCGTAGGGATTATCGGCTTTTTTGTGGTCCACCAGCCTCGGTGAATGCGCACCCTTGTGGGCCGTTTTTGACGCCGCCCTCAATTGAACAAGAAATTTTGCAGAGATACCTCTCGTAGTTGTACTGATGGATCGTATTTGGTCTCCACCTGGTCGAGTGATGCAATCTTCATGAAATACACCTACAACGAAAATTATTGTGATTAATGTTAAATTCAATTGGAGTTAGTAAATTTGAGTTGGTACCATGATCTTGCGTGCGAATACCAGTAACCCAAGGCGCATTGTTGCCAGGGAGGTCCTTTACACGACGAAATTCAGAGCGAATTAAACCCTCGATTTCGTCGATTGTTCGAATCCATTTCCCCGAGTACGTAAACGCCTTGCACCGGCGGCCTTCGCGTACACCAGCTTCGTTGACCACCACCGCACAACCGAAAGAGAACCGGGCCTGTTGTGTGAACTTGGCGTTGAGGTACGACCTGTCCTCAGCAATGGCACCTTTGTGTCGTCCAACTGACCCTGTGCATCTCGGAGGAAGCGAATTTGTTGCTTGCATCCGTTGGCACCAAAGTTACCAATCCTCGCGTCTTTGTGGGTTTCATACCACACCACAATCTGCTCGACGGCCAAAGCAGCAAGGCGGTCTTGGTCAACTTAGGACGGCTTCAAACTCCCCATACTGTCGTCCCACTTCCAGATCCCAAGTCTTGTGGCAAACTGCTGCGCCAGACCACATCGAGCAACGGCCCAGTCCTAGTCCTTGTCGGCGCAACCTTGCTTTTGACAGTACAATGGCGTCACGACTGGATTGAGACGCAGGTAGCAGCTGTACACAGCGCTTTGGCCTACATGGATCTTGTAGTTGGAGGAGCGGTACTCGTTAACCATGTGAGTAGTCTCGGTCAGACCCATGCCGATTTCCATGCAGTCGGCCACAATCTGGCTTTCGCACGATCGCAGAACAATGAGTTTGTTGGTGCCGCCACGGGGTGCGCCATCGCCACAGTACTCGTGACCAAGCCATGAGCAGTCTTCGACGTCGTTCAGGACATTCCACACTGATTCGCGCGACCCAGTCGGAACGTTGAACTGCTGCATGATTTGATACACTGTCCCTCGATACTCATTCCACTCGTCACGAGGCGGCGCTTCCAAGGCATCAATGAAGTACACCGCCCATGCAATGCGCCGGGCCTTGGCTGACACTATCGACACAGGAGTGACTGGCTGTGTTGGCACCTGCTGCACATGGCGCGTCCTTGTTACCGTCGGACACGATTGTTTCTTCCTTGGCCCAGCTAGCTTGGAGCCGCGTCGTTTTCGACGACTCATTCGATGACAACTAGTACAGATGCTGCTAGTAGATGTGAATCATCGTTTTGGCGCTCAGAATTTTATTAAATTACAGTTTGGTTGTATACAAACCGGAAATAAATACAATTTCAATTTAATAAACTTGACTTCGCGCCGAAAATTCAATTCAAGTTTTTTTCAAACAGGAGCAATTTCAAGCAAAATGAACCCCCTCACATACTGTAGGTTTAACTCCTCTATTTGAATATATCTTTGAATTACTCAAATTCATTTTGGTCTAAAAGTTATGGAAGTTTCGAGCAATTCATTCCTTTTGCCCAAACGGACAGTATGTTCGCAGGACATTCGATATATTTCGTCCAGACCCTACGTCCTTGCAGTATATTTCGACTAATTTCAGGTATATTTCACATGTTCAATATATTTCAACTGACGTTCCATATATTTCAATTTTAAATGCAAATCAAGGCGATGCTTCATCAGTCGCAAACTTCCATGTCACCCACATTTTCAGCAAGACCGAGAACAACTTGACCTACAAGGTGTAAGGTTGTAGAGGATTGACGTCGTCACATATCTACGATTTAGACAAGTTCAAAATGCTATCCACCACCAGCGATTTACTTGATTTGCATCTAACTGTAAAATCGAAATAGGTGGAACATCATTTGAAATATATTGAACAACGTGTGAAATATAACGGTTTTGTGGGGTGAAATATACCAGACATTAGTCGAAATATACTGAACGATGCAGGGTCAGGACGAAATATATGGAATGTTCTGAGAACATAACGCACATGGCGTGAATCAGTTGTGCGTCGGGCAAAATATACCGGAAATATCCTGAACTGTTAATCGAAAAACGGTGTAGTTTTCACGCAGAAAATAGGCGTGAACTGTAAATTACCAATATTGTGAATTCGCAATAAATTCGCGTGGTTTTCTTTGCAATATTGAATCACGCTGGAGTTCTGATTGGCTGACTATACTTGTCCTTTCTGTAAGAGCCAATCAAATCCACTCAAAATTGGATTAGCCAATAGCGTCGATTCGTCGACGGGGTCTGAAAATTTGTACCGAATCCACAATAACATTTGATATTAATATTTTTGGCTGAAAAAAGGTTTTTTTCACTGGTACTATGCATATGCTGGTGACGCTTTTTGGTGGTGGCGCGAAATTATATTCGTCGTGTGTGAATGTTGCGCCGCATGTCGACTGAATATGCACCCGCACGCTTGTCGGTTGCGCCGATGGTAAGATCCTTCTGGTTCCCTTGAGCCATTCTCACGTGCAACGCGGTTAGATGGACTGGACCGACCGTCACTACCGGTACATGATGCGGCTGATCACACGTCGAACGCTCCTCTACACGGAGATGGTCGTCGACGCAACTGTATGTGATGTCCCCGACGGCGGCAGTCACCTCATTTCGATGTGTAGCTTATGCACCAGAAGCACAATCTGGACTACTTTCTCGGACACGACTCGTTAGAACATCCACTAGCTCTCCAACTGGGAGGCAGCAACCCCGCCATGCTCGGAGGTGCGTTCGCCGGTCGGCCGCCCACCCACTAATCCCTTGTATACTGGTAGAGGTGGCAAAGATGGCCGAGTCTTATGGCAGCTTCCACGAAATCAACATTAACGTCGGGTGTCCGAGTCCGAAGGTGTCCAAGAATTGCTTTGGAGCTCGGTTGATGCTCGACCCTGCCCATGTGCGCGACATTTGCCACGAGATGCGCCGCCAAGTGACGTCCACCCCCATCACGGTCAAGTGTCGCTTGGGAGTTGACGACTTTGACTCGTACGATCCTCGTGTTAACCCACCGTTTTCCACTGAACTAACCAATATGGTCTTGGGCAGGTACGAGTACTTGCACGAGTTTGTAGCGACGGTGCAGACGTCGGGGGTGACAGAGTTCACCGTCCACGCGCGCAAGTGCTGGCTGGACGGTCTTCGCCTCAGTCCACACGAGAACCGGACCGTGCCAGCGCTGAACTACGACTTTGTCGGGCGGCTCAAGGCGGACTTTCCGCACCTGCGCATCATGCTCAATGGAGGCGTGTCTTCGATTCAGCATGCCCACGAGTTGTTGCAGGTACTTTGCAAATATGAATATATATATATATATATATATATATATTTGATAGGATCCATCGTTGCAAGTGGATGGGATCATGATCGGCCGCGCGGCGTACAACACGCCGTGGAACTTTCGCGACGCCGATCGCTTGCACTTTGGAGTGCCGAATCCAGGTAGGAGAACGTCTTCAGAACATTCCCAGACGATTCGTTCATGGCTTCATGGCTGGCTCGAGTAGGGCTGTCGAGGCGGCAGGTGGTGGCCGCGTACTTGGATTATGCCGACGACATGCAAGCCAAGTGGGGCAGCGTGCGCAAGCCCGGGCAGTACGCCATGCCCACGTCGCTGCTCATGAAGCCGCTCTTGAATCTGTTCAAGTATCGCCCTGTTTAAACCATGTGTTGTTTTCTCACTGCTGGACATGCATCGTTAGCGGCGAATTCGGCGGGAAGGCCGTGAAGCGGCACGTGGCGCAACGGTGGGCGGACCGACAAGGCGAACAGCTGGAACTGCGGGATCTCGTCGAGACTGCCATGGAAGAGTGCATTCCTGCGGCCGTGCTGGACGCTACCTGCGACGACGATGACGATATCGTCGATTAAATAGAGATAATACAATTATTGTCGATTTGATACAAATTTGGGTGCAATCGAATCGCGCCGACCAAACCGATCCACAATCGATCTGATTGGTTGAATTTCATTAAGAAGGTTTTGATTGGCTAATAATTTTGAGCTCACCTGAGGTAGCCAATCAAATCGATTTAAATTCCAACGAGATACCACGCCACCACACAATGAAATTTCACTCGAAAGCTCAATAACGCTGTAGTGTTGGAGTTCTGAAGGCAATCCATAGCTCATGATTGGATCATATTGTGCACATCGACCGAAAGGCGGAAGTTAGGATGGAGACGGCATCGGCCATATTTGGAAACCCTCAAGACGTCCACGGCAGGCTGGTCATCGCATGCATATCGAGGCTTTGATACATGAGTAGTTCATCTGATGAAGAATGTCATTGTGTGGTGCATGATGCTGCTGGCACGTGGGGTTTATATAGCCCATGGATCCAATCAAGGGCTTCACATTCATCTAGATTAATTGCGGGGTTCGAACGACTGCGTCCAGTCGAAGCCCAGTGCGTTCAATTGCTGCTGGCGCGGCGTCGGGTTCGACTCGAGCAGCTGTCGCTTGCGCTTGGAATTGCTCATCTCCTGCAGCGTATGGTTGACAAATTGACCGAGCGGAAAGTTCCATGTGTCTTTCGGCCAGTTCGGGTCTTGGTCGGGCACGACAAACGAGAACGGCACGGCCATGGACCCATCGTGGAGCTCTTTATATCGTCGCAGCGCCGCCACCTTGAGCTCCCACTTGTGCTCGTTCACGTCCCACACAAACCCGAGGTTGTTCAGGGCGTCCACGACGTCGGGCTCAAGTGTCCCAGCCTTGTAATGACGTCGGACCTCTGACGTGTGGAACAGTTTGCCTTGGATGGATTCTGGCCACGGCGCTTCGGTCGGCACCTGGAATCGCATCGGCACGACGGTGTAGTCCGAATGCGGGGCTTGCAGGATACGTATCGCTTTGGCAACTTCGACGTAGTCTCTCAGTCGCTTTCGAATGCCTTCGCCACCAGTCACTGGGCGTCCTTTGGTAGACTTGGCGAAGTGGCGGCAGCTCAGCGATCCCCAGCGGTATAGCATCATGGTGTGGTGATGAAGGCAGCAATGAAAGTTGCGACGGGTGGTGGGATATCCGGATTGACGGATAATATGCTTGGCGGTTTCACCAACTGCAATATCCCAAGTTTTCACCACATAGTCGTTTGAAATTAACAAATATATAAATGCAAATTCAAGCAACATAGTACCCCGAATATGTAGAAATGTTTATCGCATGTGATGATGAAATAGTTGGTGACATGTTGGCGCCGTTTCGGTGCAAGATAGAAAAGGCACACCGTGGGTTGCTTCAAATGACGATGCTGACGCGGAAGCTGTTCCGACAAAAGTCGACTCGGATCGATATGAAGTTTCTGGATGAAGAACAGACAAACAAATCGGACATGACGAGGACATCGAGCATGGTGCCGGAGCCCGTTGCGCCGACGAAGCGTCCCACCAGCATTGTCCACTCATCGACGGAGCCACTCCTTCGAGATGCCGTCAAACTGAAGAGCAAACCAACCAAAGAATCTCCGCACACTCGACTGTATGCACTTGGCGTGCATTTGCTCGACCACAAGGACCAAGTGCACAATCAGTTTAGCCACTACACGACCACCGGCAAGAAACCTGGCCGGCGGCGATCCCAGCAGTCTACCCCCGCCACGGCTTTCGCATCGAGCAATCGGCATCCAACAGAAAGGAAACCAGGTTATCATGGGAAGTCCCTGTCGTATGACGCCGCACGGTTCAGCCAACTCACCACCAACCCGTCGTCTTCGTCGTCGAAACCCACGTCTGTGCGGACCGCGATCAAGCACCTCCGGCGTAAACTCATGGCCCAGGACCCTGATGACGTGGCACCGCTGGTGGAGGTGTCCCGGAAGACCGCTACGCCGATCGACAAGCACAGCACCACGGTCCGCAGGCCAGGGGTGTCTCCCATCCGGACTCCCAAGTCCCCCACAAGGCTCCACGTCGAAGTTGTGGTACCGCATTTAACCGTATGGTGAAATCTGAGTTTATGTCATCTGTAGCCGCGCCGGCTGTCGTTGTACGCGCCAGACGACTCGGCCGCCGACGATGACGGCGACGACGACGGCAGCGAGCAAAGCCATGATGACAAGGAATTGCCTCCAAAGATGAAACTGCAAAGGACTGCCCCGCAGGAGAAGCGCAGTCTAGACAAAGTCGAGGTTGACCCGGCGGTTGTGGCGGCCAACGAAGCCGAAAAGGCCAAGTTTCTGCAACTCACAGAGCAAATCAACATGCTCAAGTCCACGCTTGGCCTTACGGACGAAGACTTGCAGGTACCACTATTCGATGGGTTAGATAAAATTCGTTGCTGATGGTATGCTGCAGTGGAAAGTCGAAAGCGCCAAATCGAATGCGTTTGTCTTGGCCGACAAAAAGCTGAGCGCCGCCGAAGAAGAATACGACCGACTGCTGTATGAGCAGTCGCTGTTGGTCTCGTGTCCATTTGAAGATTGCACCAAAGGTACTCATATATCACTCGTTTCCCGTAATATTCTCATTGTCATGGGTGCAGAATTGGCGCCACTGCTCAAGACCTTGTGTTTGCAAGCCAAGGAGACGGCGGAAACCAAAGCGGTGATGCTTGTGACCCAGCACGAAGTTCATTCCACCAAAAAATCGCTCCTGGATGCGAGGGTGGATGCCGAAATGAAACGCGCGCGGTCCAACAGTCCGCCGCGGCGGGAGAGTGTGCTCACGCGAGATTGCGTCGGTTACCAAGCGACCCTGGGCGATCAAAAGAAGGACTTGCTGGCGATTCAGGAGAAGTTCAAAGCTGTACGAACCCCAGCAAAGGCAAATATATCATGATGTCGTAGGGGGTGCTCAAGCAAGACGCGCTCCAAAAGCAAGTGGTGGCCGCCACCGAGGCGATGGTCGCGTCGTTTGGCGCGCAAGCGGTGCGCTTCTCCACGGATGACATGGCCAACGCCGCGCGGTCGCTCATGGAGGTAACTGGCATGTCCCAAAAGTGATAAACGTCACCCAACTAACTGGGTGTATTCGCAGCTGGTGCATTCGCTGGGTCAGACCACCGGCGACGACCTCGCGGGGGTGTGCACCAAAGCCATGGACATTTGCAAATTGTTTCACGGGTACCAAGCTAAGGAACTGGCGCGCAAGGAGCGCGAAATCAACGCCACGCTCAAGCAAATGGAGATTTGGCGCAACCGGCGCGAACAAGCCAAGGGTAACCACCTCCAGACATATCCTTCGATGTGCTCCATGTTTGTTTAGAATACCCCATGGAAATACGCCGCATGGAAAGCGAGTGGAAGGCGATGCACGCAGCGGACAACCTTGTGTGCTACGAGCGTCTGTGCTCACTAATTCCCGACACGATTGCGTCCATGTCTGTGGAGCAGCTTCTGGACGCAGCCAAGGCGGCGGGGGTGCTGTACACGCGGGACTTGGCCAACTACCTCAAGCAAAACAAGTAACGACCAACTAACTTCACGGAAACGGCTGCAAAGACATGATATGGGGATGTAGGTTTTTACAGTGGATCGTCACGCACGACCGCGACAAGTGCCGCGATAATTTTATCACAGGCGAATGGGCGCAATGCTTTGCCAACTTTGAAGCATTCGACGTGACCGAGATGCGGGGATTGTTTGTGGCCCTTCCTGACAATTTTGAGTTTGACAAGGACGGGCGCAAGGCCGAGTGGCGCGAGGCGTTCGTGGCCCACCTCAAGATGCTCGTGCAGCAGCAGCGCGGCGACTGTGTCAAGGCGGGATGGGACCCCGTCAAGGGGACGAGGGCCGAAGTGAAGCTCAAGCCCCCCTCGGACAAGCACCTGCTCAACCCCATGTATCGGTACCCGACCGAAGTCGAGATCAAGCAACGCCTCGAGCGGTTTGAAACCCAGGTATGTCATTACAGTAGAGGTCGTGCTGGACAAAGTGGATCACGACCGAATGTACGAACGTGACTACTAGGCCAAACGACTGGCGCAAAAGAAAGCGCGGATGCAAGTGCTGACCAACCAAGACATTCCCATGGCCAAAAAGGAGTACCATGCTGTCGCCGAAGGTATGACGTGACGATCGCCATGCAAATATCAGTTATGAAAATAATGATCCCATTGTACATTTATTTATTCCGCCTCATAATAGATGCGCGGTCCGAAGACCTGTTGCGTCAATTCGGCAAGCCCGCACTCATCAAGCTCCGCGACGAGTCGAAAAAGGTGTACCAGTCGCTGCAAAAAGAATATGATACCCTGAAAGGCATGTTCGCAACACCCCCATCTATCACCCTACTAAACTGAATCCTCCGATATTGTTTAAAGAGACTTCTATTATTATCCAAATACTTTAGGTCATCCAGATAATTGTATTCCAGCTAATGCTATGAATTATTTATCCACGGCAAACTGCAGGGGAAGTGGCCGTGGGCGACCGCGCTGCGCAGGTCGCGTGCCCCACACACGAGCAGTACGTCGAAGAGATCGCCGCCATCCGACTGCTTCCCCCAGAGGTCCGCGCCGAGGTTATCCGCGGTCCGTTCGATGCGCATCCGGTGCTCAAGCCCAAGGAGCGCGCCGTGCACAAAAAGCTGTCGGCCGAAGAGGAGGTGTTCCCACACGTTTCTCCCTGTCTCTACTACTTGCATCCGTCTACTAACTACTACGATGGACCATGCGTAGGCCGTGGCACGCAAAAACGAGCTCAGCCATGCGATCGCAGAACGAACCAAAGAATTCCACGATGCTAAAAAGGTGGTCCTTTCACCCTGCAGCTACACAACTCGCCCACTCTGACGATGATTCGATTGGTGGTAGGTGGCCGACGACGACGCGCCTCCCGGTGCTTTGACGGACGCGCCACCACCACTACTACATGCAGAGGACGGAGCGGGGCTAGCCGCGAGGAGCAGCAATCGGCGGGGGTCTCTATCGCAGACAGATGTGACGCTGTCCAAGACGCCCCGCGCGGTCAAGGCGTCGCCGGCCGTGCTGTCGTTCCTTCAAAACGACTTTTGCAACAAACAACGCAAGCCGTCGGGAAGTCCCGAGAAGCCATCGAATCATCTGTCGCCGCCCAAGATGGCGGTGATCCTCGACGGCGACGAAATGCAGGACGAAGGCGGCCAGGTGCCGGTCGACGCCCTGCCAAAGTCGCATGCGTTGATGAAACTCATGGGGCTGGCGACCAAGTCGGTGCCGGTGAAACGCCCGAGTATGCTGCACGACCCGAACCTCCTCGAAGACTTGTCGAAACCAAACATGATGGCAGAGATTCAACGGCGGCGGTCGAGCAAGGGCACGCCGCCGCCGTCGCCCCTCCAAAAGAAGCAGGGGGTGAACTTTTTAGACGAGCTCAAGCGACGCGCTGAAGCACGAGACAGTTCCGCCGCGCAGGCCAAGAATCCGATTGAAGAAGGACATGATGTTGCGAAGGGGGAGGAGACAAAAGAGGTTGCGCCTGCCAAGCCCATGAGCTTCCTAGACGAACTCAAGAAGAAGGCGAAAGCAAAGGAATAGCAACAGATTATTAATCCAAGATGCCAGCACGGCGCGCGGCCACGATGGACGCATGTCGTTTCTAAGCATATGACAAAGTACATCATTTGGCATAGGAACATGAAGGCGTACCTTCTTGCATTCGCGGTAGCGTTCAAAGTGCTCGTTGCAGTTGCTTCGCTTCGTGTAGTTCTCTGCATGGATGTCAGGACTACCACAAACGGAATGCTGCGTGCGACCTACCTTCGATACACTTTAACGAGGCTTTTTGGAGTTCGGTGCATTCCTGTCCAAAGGTATCAGTCAGTCATGCATCAACAAGCAAGTAAGCCAATGTGGGCTTCATCATGGTTGTCATCATACCCCCATTTCCCATTGTCCTGGGTTGGAAGCCATAACTGGGAGTGGAGGAGTGGCGGCAGGAGGTGGCGGCGTCGACATGAGGTACTAGTAGGTTGGACTTCGTCGAATTCAAACGTCCTCATCATGAATTGATCGATTTTATCCAATCATATTGCCAATCAAATGTATTTGTAGACCAATCATATTGAATGAAAACCTAATTTTAAGCCAATCATTAATATCGTCAGCATTTGGTAAATCAGATGGAGCAAGAATTCGACCAATCACACGATGGTCAAGGGTGATTTTGCAATCTTATGCGACATACCAGTAACGGAGGAACCTCCACAGGAGTTTTCCATCACCGCAACGCCACCGTTGCCGCTGGCTGCCATATTTCGAAGATGGACCCGTTTGTCGTGCACAAGTTTGGCGGCACGTCCGTGGGAAATGCCACTGCCATGAAGGCCGTGCGGGAAATCATTGCGAATGTCGCCAACGACCGCATCGCCGTTGTCGTGTCTGCGATGGGCGGCAAGCCGAAAGTGACAGACCTGCTCATCTCGCTCGTGGAACTGGCCAAGACACGTCAACAAGATGCCATCGCATCGATCATCGACAACATCCTGCGCAAGCACGACGACGCCATGTCTGCGTTGTTACCATCGGCCGTGGCAGCGCCAATCTTAGACAGCATCCGCGCCGACTTGAAGACGTTGGAAGACTTGCTCAAGGCCATCTCCATCATGCGCTCGTACAACGAAAACGTCACGGAGTTGGTCAGTGGCCACGGGGAGCTCTGGTCGGCGCGTATCCTCACGGCGGTGCTCAACCAGCACTTGATTGAGCAAGGGAAGGCGGAGCGATTTGCATTTGTCGATGCTCGCGAGGTATATATATATTGTCATGCCATAACGTCTATTTTGATTCCCAAGGTCCGACGTTGTCGTGCCTAGGTTCTAGTCGTTGAGCTGGACGACAACCATGGACCGGTGGTGCAATACGCCGAAACAAAACAGCGCTTATCGACACTCATGGACACGTTGGGCAACCACACCCACTTGGTCATTACAGGGTTCATCTGCACGACTACCGACGGCGTCGTGACGACTCTCAAGCGCGACGGCAGCGACTTCTCCGCGTCCATTTTTGGGCGGGTACTGGAAGCCGCCGCGATCACAATCTGGACCGACGTCAGCGGTACGTCCTTCGTCGTCAAGTGTCTCTTGACGATGCTTCCCACATTCAAACATTGCAGGGGTGTACAGTGCCGACCCCCGCCGCGTACCGGAAGCCCAGATCCTTCCCCATGTGTCGTACCAAGAAGCGATGGAACTGGCGTACTTTGGGGCCAAGGTGATCCACCCCAAGACGATGGCACCTGCGATCGCCCAGAGCATTCCCATCTACATCCGCAACACTTTTGACGCCGACCATCCCGGCACGCGCATTTTTCACCGCCGCGCGCTCACGCGGTCGTTGTCGGGCACCCTCGCCGAAGCCAAGACGATCGTGAGTGGGTTTTCCACCATTGACGACATGGCGCTGTTCAACCTTGAAGGTACGATACATATCTGTGATACAGTTTGAACATCCCCCACTGAAAAAATCGTTCTAGGAAGTGGCATGGTGGGGGTGCACGGAGTCGCGTCCCGGCTATTTAGCGCCCTAGATCGCATCAAAGTAAACGTGGTGCTCATAGCCCAAGCCAGCTCGGAGCATTCGATCTGCTTGGCCATCCCTGCCGCCAACGTACGTACACATCTGCATATATATATGTTGGCTTTCATGTCATGTGGATAATAGGCACCCGATGCAAAGGACGCCATTGAAGCCGCGTTCTTCAAAGAACTGCACCATGGCCTCATCGATGTACATACTTGTGTCGACCAATGCTCTTTTTTCTCTATGGTGGCTTTGCTTAGCAATTTCGTGTGGATGTAGGCCGTGACCTACGTTGCGCCTGCGACCATCATCGCCGCCGTGGGCGACAACATGTCGGAAACCCCCGGCGTGTGCGCTCGGTTCTTTGGCGCGTTGGGTCGCGCCAAGATCAACGTCCTCGCCATCTCCCAAGGCTCATCGGAGCGCAACATTTCAGCGGTACTAAACACGCCTCAAAACAGACCTTCATGGCGTCGTCACACATGTAGGTGGTCCGTTTCCAAGACTCGGGCGCCGCGCTGCGAGCGGCGCATGCGGCCTTCTTCATGGCCGACCACGCTGTGAGCGTGGGCATTCTGTCGCCATCCGCGGCTTCGACTGTCGGCATGGCGCTGCAGTCGCAGTTGTTTACGCAATCCCAAGTCCTCGTCAACCGCTTCAACGTCGACTTGCGGCTCTGTGCGGTGGCATGTCAAAGCCCGACGACCAATGGAAGCAGCACTCGTCCCACCGCCGTCACATGCAGTGTCCACGCTACTGGCTTTGACGCGGCGTCTCTGAGCGCGAGGTAGGTGGTATATTTATATATATATATATATACCCCATCGAACCCACTCTGTTTGGTTGGATTTGGGTATATATACATATATATATGGGACATATACTCATGTTGTGTGTGTGTCTAGTGTGGACGTGGCGTCGTCGATGGCCGAGTGGCATCGGCACGTCCAAGTGGATCACATCCCGCACGCGGTGGTCGTGGACTTGTCCAACGACGAGGCCACGCTGTCGCAGTACCCGGTGTGGCTGGCCGCCAACTGCCACATTGTAAGCATACACCGTATCCCATGAAAAAAATATCATATATATATATGTAAGGTGAGTGCGAATTTGCACGTGGCGAGTATGCCCGTGACGTGGCATCTCCAGGTGGCTGCGGTGCAGTCGCTGCATAAAGTGACTGTGGATTCCAACGCGAGTCTCGGGATGAGTGTGCCGGTGCTGTCGACGATCCAAAACCTGCTGCTGACCGGCGACAGCGTTGAGCGCGTCGAGTCGTCTTGGAGCTCTCTCTTCAATGCGCTCGTAGCCAAGCTGCAAGGGACTGCCGAATTGGCGGGCGCGGCGGTGGACTCCGTGCTGAGTCAGTATGCGGGGCTGTCCCCCCAAGACATGCTGGAGGACCTCACGGGGCTGCGGTCGGCCAAAAAGGTACAAATGGAGGATCATGGGAGAGGGAACTTTGTGTGATGTATACGTATGTAGATGGTGCTCGTGGCTCGGGAATTGGGCCTGAATGAAGACGTACATGCTGCCAAGGTACGTACTGCCAACATGTGTCGAAGCGTGGATTGCGTGGGGTTGACGACCTCTCTGCGGAACATTCTGGGAACATGCTGGGAACATTCTGGGACTCAGTTTGGAATGGTTGTAGATTGCGTCGCCGTTTCCCATGCCAACGTCGGACGAGTGGAAGTCGTGGACGTCCGTGGCCGACGTCAAAGCGTATATTCTATTGCACGTTCCGACGTTGCAACCATGGCTAGCCACCGCATCCAACACTCGGTATATATATATATATATATATATATATATATAGTATATGCCATACCCACAACCTTATCTCCACCCCCTTTGTCCTGGTTGAGCTGACACTGGTAATAGATTGGTGTCGACGTTGAATGCAGATGTGGGCGGGATTTCCATCGACGTGCAGACTTTGCTGGCACCGCATCCGTTTGCGGGGCTCATGGGGGAGCAGTGTGCCCTTGCATTTTACACGAGTCGACACCAGCCCCATCCGCTGGTGATCTGCGGTTCGTCGTTCGCGTCCGACGCAAGGTACTACTTCAACTACTAGTAGTACTACTACCTACCTACCCCTTGGCGCTCGTAGTATCTAACGTGGTGTTGATTGATTTTCCTGTTGTTGTGTAGCCAAAGTCTCTTGGCCAGCACTGTGTTTGGCAGTGTGTTGAAACTCGCCCGCAGTTTGTAATAACCATCTGTTAATATAAAGTTCCAAGGGTCATTCGATCGGACTCGCTTTCCGAATGTCAAACAAGCCAAAGTCCTTGCCGCGGTACTCGGGGCCGATCAACGCGTCTGAGATCTTGTAGTACTCGTACCCCGCCTCGGCCAACATGCGGAAGAAGCGCATGTCCGTGTCATGCCGCCCGAGCCCGAGGAGGATGCGCGTGGTCGACGGGACCACCAGCAGCTCCAGCGTGCGCAGCAGCGGCGCGTAGAACTCGGGGAGGTACGCGATGTCGGTGCCGACGATCCAGTCGATGGGCGTCAACGCGCGCGCGTCGGCGGCAGTGAACGTGGTCCAATCCAACGCCACCACCTCCACCTTGGTCGACGGCGGAAACAACTCGGCGTTGCGGACGACGTTGCGTTCCATGGACGCCACGTGTGTGTCTAGATCTGTCACGATGACGCGGGACGGACCCATGTGGGCCATAGCAAGCCCCACGAGCCCGGTGCCGCTGCCGAGTTCGAGGACGGTTCGGCCGACGAGGGCATCCCGTTCACGCGAGTTGCGAGCCATGTAGTCTACGAGCAAGCGGCCGCTTGTCCAGAGAGAGCCGCCGATGCCGACGTCCCAGTTGCATTCGACTTCGATGCATGTGGCGTCGGTGGTCGTCACGGGAATGCGCACGACTTCGGACCGATCGCTGGTGATGGCGCTGGTCATTCGTCTTGATTGTGTATGCTGGGAAATATATCCGAACATCCGGATAATACAAGTATGCTTGTCAAGCAAAAAATGTCGTTTTTTCGAAAAAAGCCATCCAAAATAAGGTGAATATCTAAAATTGTCATCGATATTTCAAACCATTGGCGCGATATGATGCGACGATACGGGCTGCGAATGCCGCCCGTGCTGTCGTCCTGCTGCCACCGCTTCTTGTCGTCCAACGAAGATATCCTATCCGTCGCACGAGTGGTGCATGCAAAGTCTCCGACTAGCTTCACTGTTCTCCCGTCGACATACGTCGTGCCAGACCATGACGACTTTCCCCTACACCTGCGAGGAAAGTCCCTCGCTATCTCGGAGCTACGGCGGCAATACAAGAACCACAAAGTGCCCTCGTCCCTCGTTGAGCAATTCGACGCGTTGTCGTTCGTGTGGGACGTCAACTTCCACAAGAGTGCGCTTCGACTGCACGCGTTGACCGTGTACAAGGAACTCCATGGCGATCTCAATGTGCCGCGCCATTTCAAAGTCCCCGCTGGAGACAGTCGGTGGCTGGTAGATACGTGGGGGCTCTCTCTCGGCGCCGCCGTGCACAACATGCGCACCGGTCATCTCCTCTTGCATCCTGGGCACGAAGCGTCGTTCCTTGCGTTAGGGTTTACGTGGGATGTCAAGAACTCGCAGTGGGACGACCACCTCGAGGCCCTGCACCAGTACATCCGACTGCACGAGCACTCCCACGTCCCTTTGCGCTTCGTCGTGCCCGTGGACGATCCCGAATGGCCCGTGCACATGCGCGGCATCCCCCTCGGACGAGTGGCGGCGTCATGGCGGCAACTCGGCGAAAACGCGATGCCCGCGGACCGCCGCGCCGCACTGAACGCGCTGGACTTTGTGTGGAACGCATGGGACCACCAGTGGACGCGCAACATGGACGCGCTGATGGCGTACGTCAAGCAGCACGGCGATTTGCTCGTGCCCAAGCGATTTGTCGTGCCCGACGACGACCCTTCGTACCCCGAGCACACGCGGGGGCTGGCGTTGGGCTCATTGGTGCATTCGACCAGGAACCGGATGGACGACCTCCCCCGAGCCCACCACGACGCGTTGGACCACATCGGGATGGTGTGGGACCCGCTGGACTACCACTGGGACCACGTCGTGCTGGCCCTGCGAACCCACGAACGACTCCACGGACACCTGCGCATCGCAACCAAGTTCAAAGTGCCCTGTGGCGACCCCCACTGGCCCAAAGATACGTGGGGACTGCACCTCGGTAGCCTCGTGACGCAGATCCGGCATCGCGCGGTGGCCATGGCCATCGACCAAGTGGATTTGTTGGCGATGATCGTCAGGCAAGACGAACAGGACGAGCTGGAGAATGATACGAATAGTAGTTTGCATGCGGAAACCACCACGTCGTCGTCATGACGGGGGGGGTGTTTGTGTGACAAGGTCGTGACGAGATTGTGTGAGACACGGGGCAAAAGATATCGTAGTAGTTAAGCCAAGCATGAGACAAAGTTAACGCGACAGGGTTGCCGACGCGTGCTCGTACACGCCGAAGAAGACAAACCCGCCGATGGTGATCCACATGGTGCGCGGCTTCACGCCAGAGAAGAGCGTCTGCCACCCCTCCTGTGTATACACGCGCGTGAATGCATCTCGCATGCCTATGTACTCCACGCCTTGGGCATCCTAAGCCAACACATGACACTCCGATATATACATCGTACGTAGGTACTAGGTTAGGTACATCATACCTTGCCCAGCATGAGGCGCGTTTTGATCACGTCGAGCGGCGTCGTGATAGACGCAGCAAACCCGCCAGAGAGGGCGCCACAAACGGCCCCTTGCACGGGGCTCACGGCTTCTCCTTGGCGTTGGCTCCATGTGGACTAGAAGACATGCCAGCACTCAAAAATATGCGATACAGTATGTGGAGATGGATAAGGTGGAGGAATGGATGGTAACAACACTACCTTCATGCCTTCCCAGAGGGGAAATTGAATGAACGAAAATGGAATCTAAACGTGGCAAGGGTGTCAACATTTTGGCTGTGGGATGAGATTGGAGTTGGACACGTACTTCACGAGCCAACAAACTCCAGTACCCGCGGTAAAAGCCTGCGATACCGTTCGTGCCGTAGATGCTGCGAATGGACTCTTGGAACGACTGGAATGCGCCAGTTTGGAGGTTTTGCTTGACGATTTCTGTCGGCACGCGGACAAGACACCCCGCCTACGAGGCATGACGGTATCAAACACGTATTCGATGGATGGGGATTGATCCTGTCCTTACGGTCTCGCCCATGGCAGCAGACGCCATGTGGATGACTGGGGAGTCGGCAAGATGGGGCTGTTGCTTTTGCAAGAACGCTTTCGTGGTTTCGTACGAGCTAAAGAACAACGCAGCTACACCACAACCGACATGAGTCATGCATGTTCCTGCAACGATGTCGACAACAAGAGAGCGTACCTCCAGGAGCAGATCCGGCGGCGGCAGCAGACAACCCTTTGTATACGCCTTTGAATCCGCCAGCTTTGAGGAACCCCTGCGAACTCTGAAGGCGCGTCTTGATGGTGTCCAACGGGTACAAGGCCACATCGACACCTGTGCCAGCCATCCCGCCCGCCTACATGAGACGCGATGTCATCTAAGCTAACGAGTCGCATTACATACGATGAGCGATATCAGGAAGCTCTTCGTCGGGGGGACCACAGCGGCGTCCTTGTCCATCTTACTTTCAAAAATGACCCACGAGGGACTTCCTCAGCATTCAACTCTTTTGATTGGCTCCAGTCGTGTGTGTAGTTTGCGTCATCCTCCGACCCGTAAAGTGCACCGTAAAGTATAATAAAGTGAACCGTAAAGTGTGATATACTCCGGTAAAGAGCGACTATCAAATTCGACTAAGTGCGTGTCAAAAAACTGGGGTGACAGTCAGTTTGCGCGAGTCCTCATGATCGCTGCCAGGCTGATGCGTCGCGGCGTGATGCCTGCGGTTACCGCACGCGTAACCTCTTCGACAATGCTTTTACCTCGATCGATGCTCATGCCGCTTGCTTCGTTCTCGTCCATCTCTCGCTCCACCGTGGGAACGACAAACAGCTTCGGTGCTGGCTCCGGCTCGGCTGGCAAGCCGCTCGAGTTGAAGTACCTGGAAGCGAATGGCTCGTTGGCCCTGGCGTTGCCTCTGACTGGAGATCCTCACAGCGAGATTGGGTTGGGGATGAAGCTGTTTAGTTTGCATCCCACCACGTCTGTCGCGAGCTTCGTGTCTCAGGTGCAATTGGAAGACACGACCGCCAAAGACGTTCAAATTCGAACCCAAAAAGGCGTCCCCGTGGCCCCCGAAACGGCATTTTCGTCACTCATGGCCGACGATTTTCAAATTGTGCTCAACGACAAGGTGCTCCGTGTCGCAGCTCCAGGTTGACCATCCCCATCCTTGTTTGACTCTAATTTTCAATGACTATGTAGTCTTCACGGGCGATGCGTACACGAGCTTGCCACAGGACGGAGGGTTGGACATGCGGGCCATCGCGCACAAAGCTGCTATCATCAAGCTCCGCGAAACTATCGCCAACCACCCGTGAGTGTAGTAGATATGCATGCAGCACGGATCTTTGGTTCTGACATTGGATGCATTAGGAAATGGAAGATCGACGTTACCGAGTTCAAAAAGTTGGCGTCAGACCACGGCATCCCCCCCAAGCAGGCAAGCCAAGTGCTCCATGCGTTCCATCAAGTCGGCCTCGTGTTTCATTTCTCGCAGGTTCATGTATTATAATATGTTCTTGTTTGTTATAACATGTTATAATTGCTTCAGGCGGCCGACGAAGAACTCAAGTCGGCGGTATTCCTCAAACCGCGCAACATTTTGGACGGGTACTTTGACTCGCTTGGGTTGATTCCTCCGTCAACCCAACGATATGTGGAAAAGGTATACAATTCCACCGTTTGGATATATCTCGTTGCTGACAAACGTGGCAACTAGCGCCAGCAACTCGAAGCGGACTTGGCTGCTATTATGCCAGAGCACGACGCGTTGCTGCATTTGCAAGCGCAACTCGACGAGACGGCGCACAAACGCACGGCCGTTTATTGCTACTTGAGCTCGGCAGGTATGACTTGACAGTTGTATGTCGGTTACGAAAAACGTGCCTTCGGTAGGGTTGGTGGGTACGGGCGGGCTCTACGCATGGCTCACGTTTGTCGAGTACTCGTGGGATATCATGGAGCCGATCACGTACTTTACGGGGTTCGGGGTGTCCGTGTTGAGTTACTTTTGGTGGACCTTGACCACGTCCGAGTACGAGTATGGGAACGTGTACGACTTCATCTACCAGCGCCGCCGGAACGCGCTCTACACCAAGTCGCAATTCGACCCGATTAAGTTAGACAACCTCCAAGCCAAAGTGGCCGGGATTCACCGCGACATTGCCGACATCACGACCAAACTCACCAAACCCACGTGCCTTCAAGCAGAGTTCCTAAAGGAAAAGTAACTCGTAAGTTGGGTGTACACGATAGATTATACTAGTATTATACTTCGAAGTATGTGATGAGATCTTTTTTTGGAGCGAATATTATACTAATACAACGTCATATCGAATTATCCGGATAGTATGCATTCTAAGAGGTGTATGACCAGCAATAAACTGCACGTCCCTGTAAAAATACTTGGGCTCAAATGAATGCCGCATCCTTGGACACGGAAGCTTACAAACAATCATATGAATATCGAATCTTGCGTTAAATCGATAGGTTGGGAGAAGCGCCACCGACTGCAGCTGGTGTGTGTCGAAGGATAGTCGTCCGACGTTGCACAAGTCGTCATGATGCTGCACCAGTCGCGGCGCGATATCCTCCCAGTCTCGCTCCCGGGAAACTGCGACAATGACGACACGAATGACATGGCACCTCTCATGCTTGGCATCAACATCAACATCAACATTCGACCAGAGTCTAGTCGGTCCGACTGGCGAAAGGTTGGGCTTGGCGTCGTTCTCGCCCTCGTCGGACTCGCGTCGGTTGGCGGGATCACATACGGCGTTTGGTACTACCGGCGCGAGGCCATGATGATGGATCCTACATTAGACACAGCGCTCTTGTCCGACCCGCTACCGTACGATCGGGTACCGGCGCTATGGGGTGACGACTTCGAATGCCTCGGGTGGCGCGCCACAGCTGGCTGCGACCCTGGTGGTGAACGCACTCCGCAGTACGACAAAACGTGCGACACCGCGATCGGTCTAGGCGACGCTGGTTTCTGCGAGGTTCGCAATCGAACCAGTCTCCAAGTGTATCGGGTGATGGCCACGACATGCCGCGGCGTCATCGGGCTCAAGACGTTCACGTGCAATATGGCCGAGGAGTTCACCGACTTCTCCAAGCAGGCCGCTACGTACGTCCACGACCCGGCGCCGCAATTCTCGGGCGTCCGGCGCGGGATTGTGTTTTCCGTGTTCAAGAAGGCGCTGCCGGGGGTGTTTGCGATCATCAAGGTGCTTCGGTCATATGGATGCACGCTTCCCATCGAGATCTTTTACCGCGCAGACGAACTCCATGCGCAGTCGAACGTGTTGGTCCAAGCTCTGCTGCAAAGCGACCCCAATGTCGTTCTGAGAGAGATCACCGACCCGCATGCGACAAAGTTCCGCACCAAGCCGTACGCTGTCTACCACGCATCGTTTGACCAGGTGCTGCTGCTGGATTGCGACAACGTCCCCCTGCGTGACCCTACGTACCTGTTCGACTCCCCCGCGTTCGCCACGCACAGCGCCATCTTCTGGCCAGACCTGTGGCACCCCAGCCACACCATCTTCAGCGTGCAGGCGCAGAATCTGCTGTGGCAGTACGTGGACATGCCGTTCTGGGACGTGTTCGAGCAAGAGAGCGGCCAGGTGCTCGTGGACCGCCGCCGCGCCAAGGACGCGCTACACAAGCTCATGGCGTACACATTTGGCGCCCGCCAAGACGGAACGCTGATCGAATCGATGGAGTTTCTGTACGGAGACAAGGACCTGTTCCGGTTCGCGTGGAGAAACACGTCGACATCGTATCAATACATCCAGACACCGCCCGCGTTTGCCGGCATGTACTCGTGGCACCGATGGATTTCGTTCTGCGGGCTCGCCATGCTCCAGCACGACATGGACGGCGAACACCTCTTCCTCCATCGCAACCAGGTCAAGCTCACCGCGAGTCCGTCGCAGGTGCCGCTGTTCACGCACGTACTTCGCTTCACCGGCCACGACCCGCATCTGTACAGGGCCGAGTGCAAGGGGCGGCAGGATGGGTACCTCTGCTGGGGCTTCCAGTGGCCGTGGGTGCCGGCAACATTGGACACGATCGACTGGAGTGAAGATGGAGGAGGACGAGCAGATCGAAAACATGTCAACATCCACCAAGCCGAAGCCATGGCCGTGCGCTTCGCCATCGAAGCCGGCGCCATCCTCGGCGAGGTGGATGCAGACGTTCCGCTGACGCCGCTGCCGCTTTGGCGCAACTGGGGCGTCGACGTCATCGTGTGCAGTGCGGTGCTGCTGCTGTGGTGCCTCTGGCAGCACGTCGCGCAGTGCTGGACGCCGCAGAAGAAGACGCTGTTCCGATCCATGTTTATGTCTCGCAAGAAGCGGAAAACGTCGACCCTTCCCGGCCACGAACAGCACTGAATATATATATATATATATATATACGTCGTGGCGGGAGATGACCTAATTTATACAATATATCCAACGTGCAAGTCTCATGTGTGTTGTGCGAAGCCATCGTTATTATCCAACGGACGTAATGTTAGTATTAATATTTGTACACAGTTGGTATTATTATAATATTAGAGTAACACGTAATAATAATGTAGTAAGATTATTCACACGTCCATTTAAACCAGCATACTTTAATCAAGATAATACATTCGGACAAAAACTGAATAGTTAAAATATGCATTTGAGGGGCAATTCAAAGGTGTTAATTATCTGAACCAAAACGCGAATGTCTATCATAAGGCAGGTACAGCCTACTTACTTACTATACCTATACTCCTTATACCGCACTTTTCAACGACATTCCCACAGATACACTCGACTAATTCGATTGCACTACTGTAAACACGAATGCTTGGGCGAGATCAATATTTTACTGGTGTAGGAACACTTTTAACAATTTACTAGTATATTTTATTGATATTTTACCAAAAACTGTGGGTAATTAGCCAATCAAACGCAGCTTAGAGATAAGCCCTTGAATTTCGCTTGACGACATGGCCCAAGCAACAACATGGCAGTCCGTCTGCGCTGACTTGGAAGATGTATTGAGACCACGGTACTTGATCTACAGACAACAGTAGCCATTCATGATCTGGCATTAGGGGTCTAGACCTCGTGATTCCGATGAACGTGGGCATGTACAACGAAGTGGCTCCGCCGGCCTACCAACTGGACGCGTCGCCGTCGTCGCTGTTGGTGATGGTTGGCAACACGAAGCACTTGTGGCCCACGTTTGTGAACTCGTTGGACGTGGGCAACATTCCTGACCATCCGTTGAACGACTTCACCGTGTACGAAGTCACACGAGCGTTGGCGCTGGTCACATCGACCTCCAGTGTTGCAGTCGAAAACGTAGATTGACTGCGTAGCAAACCACCCGTCTGCTAACTTCCTGTAGGTGTTTTGGGTTCACGACACTGAGATTGGGAAAATGATTGCCGCGGTGCGCATGGTCGTGGCGTCGGGCTTTGCATCATACTCAAACGTATACCCATCATCCATCTATGCTGCGCCGACATAAACAGGAACATTCGTCGCTAGGAAGCTCACTTGTGCGTACATCCGACATACGGCCCTTGGTTTGGCCTTCGCGCCGCCATTGTGTTTGCGTGCCCAGGCCCCACCGAGCCAGTGTACCATGAGCCGGCCACGCTGACCCTGCCGGCCGACGTCTCCCAACGCACGCGCGACCTGTTCGACCAAGCGATCGCCGTCAAGACCGTGTCCGCCGAGGCCAAGTCCATCTGGTTCCGCCTCCGCGTGGGGCTGCATCCGAGCCACCCGTTCATGTACTCGGACGCCCAAGTCCGCTTCCACTACGCCAACTCGCCCGAGTCCCGCAAGGCGGTCATTGCGGCCGTGCAGTCCCACACCCCCATCGACTACGTGCTGGAGCCGCCGACATCTGCCGCTGTGACCTGCCGTCGCCTAGTCCAAACCGTCTTGACTGATCTCATGGCCAGCCATCCCCCTCCGGACGTGGTGCTGCTCAGTGGCGGCCTGGACACATCCATCATCGCAGAAGCCAGCGCGTGCGACCTGGACGCGCTCACGGTTGAATTTGCGACGCCCATCCTGACCATCCAAAGCGGCATCACGGTCCGAGCAGACCCTGCCGCACAGGATGCCACGTATGCCAGCGCCATCTGCCACCGACTCAACATACCCCATCATTGCCTCGAAGTGTCTGTGGAAACCCTATTGGAGCACGTGCCTGTTGTGAGTCGAATTCTCACGACGTTCGACCCCATGGAGCTCCGCAATGCGATCGTGATCTACCACTCGCTGCTGCGGGCCAAGGAACTCGGGTACCAGTGTGTGGTCACGGGTGACGCTGCCGACGAGTTGTTTGCCGGTATGTTTGTGGTTTATGTTCGTGCTTACTAGTCCGACTAGGGTACTCGTTCTACGCGAGCATGCCGGAGGACCGGCTGCAGCTGTACCGGCACCACATTGCGCGCATCATGCGGTTCTCGGCGCAGCCACTGGCGGCGGCGTTGGGGCTGACGGTGCGCAGTCCGTTCCTCGATCCCCGCGTCGTGGAATTTGCCCTGTCATTGGGCAAACACGCCCTCGTTGGGGACAAAACCCCCGTGCCCAACGGCAAAACGTACGGCAAGCTCGTGTTGCGCCAGGCGTTCCCCGAGGCATTTTCCCAATGGCGCGACAAGGAGCCCATCGAACAAGGCGCGGGGACATCCCAGCTCCGACTCGGGTACTTTGGGGATGCCAACGTTCCTGGCTTTTACTCGAGGCAGCGGCAGCTGTACCAGCAGCACCACGTCGTGCTGCGGGACCACGAACACTTGGTCTACTTTGAGCACTTTCTCGCGGCATTCGGCGGATCGCTGGACGCCGTCCCCAAGGTGCGCGACGGCGACGATCCGTGTCCGGCTTGTCGCTTCGACCTGTCGTCAAAGGACCAGGACTTCTGCATCACGTGCGGCTTCTGGCCGGCGCGAACGACCGACGCCAACGCCGCCTCGGCCAAACCGGCCATGGACAAGCTGGCCGAGTTGCTCCAAAAGTTGCAGGAGAACGACGAGTCTGTAGAAGAACCAAACCCGTCAGTAAACTAGGGAAGCACTCGCTTAAAGGACATGAAAAGGTCCGATGAAGTGACTAGATGTACATATACGGTAAACTGGTATGAAGGCTGTGTTTGTTACTAGGTACTACATGAATCGCCTGCACCGTTGCTCGTTGCGGCTCGAATACTTCTAAGGCCGCGGAGAACATGGAAGACATGGAAGTTGGAGCCTGATTGACCAACAATTACATTTTACGTCGAAAGTCAGATTGATTTACATTTTTTATTGAAATATATCGATTGCACCCCGAAATATATTGAGCCACTCCCTGAATTGAGCACATATACAGTGAAATAAATATAAGGAACATCGCTTGAAATATACTGCAACCTACTTGGTTGCAGGCGAAATATAACAAATATACAACGAACGAAGTGGAACCGCCGCGAATTGCTTGTTCATTTCGCGAAAAAGTATGGTGAGGTCCTGAAATTAATCTCGAAAAAAGGTGTAGTAGTACTAGTAGTAGGTAGTAGTAGTATGTCGAGTGTCGTGGTCACTGGTATAATTCACAGACAACAGTCGTTAGGCTTGTCTTAGACGATTCCATGCTGGACTGTTATAGCACGTTATTACTTTCGACTCAAGTCTTTGGCAGTGCGATGGGCGTACAAGTTCCATTCCATCTTGGTCTGCGTGACTACATATCACAAAGTTATGGTACTCAAGGAGTATCATAACATCGTACCTGGCATCACCCGCCGCATCTCTTTGAACGTTTCCTCCGTCATGTTGATGTACATGTCTTCCAAGTTGCTATGCACGACATGCTCTTCGGCGCGAAGAACAGCGAGCACCGCTTGCGCCAGCGATTCGCCGGTCACTGGAACGGGCGCCACGTCCTTGTGGCTCTGCAACTGCAAATTGCCGTCTTCAAAGTAATGCACGTGCAGGTCAATGCGACCGGCGAGGGTCGCGGCGTCGGGTGACACGTTCGTCAATGTCCATTTGGATTTCCACCGGCCCGACCAAAAGTTGCGCAAGCTCACGCGTTCAGTGGACAACACGATCGTGATCGTCGAGTCTGTCGCAAAGACAGCGGCGCCGCCTCTACCAGCTCCATATAAGACCTAATGAGAATGGTGGTCGTGTACGCACTGGTTGCCAAATTGCGTGGCCAGATATGCATCGACTTCGACTTGGAGCTCGGCACGAAGTGGTTCCAGCGACGAGGTAAAGCGCGCCGACGCATCTTGAACGTCCTGAGCCAAGATTTCTTGTGTGACGTGGTCAAAGCCCCACACTTTTCGGCCGTGGGTGTCGAGGTAATGACCCACATCCACCTACATGCATACAAAAAAACATGTGAGGTGGCTACGATCAAATGAAGTGGAGGTAGACCTCGCCTTCCTGGCACACGACCAAGCGCTTCGACTCGTCCACGTTGGGAATTTGAACGGGCAGGGAGTTCTCAACGTTGTACGTGTGTAGGATCCCTCGTAAAGCTGTGTCGGACAGCAACCCACGAGGCAGCAATTTGGCAACATCTACATGCGCCACCATGATCTTTCTATGGCATACACCTCGGCATGCAGACATACCAACCTTTAGACACATCGCGCACTTCACCAGGGGGACTTGCCAGTAGGAAGCCTTTGGCGACGTTGAGCTTTTCTGCGTCGGAGAGGACGTCGGCCATGTCAAGATCGCAACCGTGAAAATGGGGAATGCGGCCAGAAATACGGGATGGCAGCATGAATGCAGGTCGCCAGAGTAGTACTTTAGCGGAGGGTCCCCATAAAGTTCGCAGGGCAATACATATCCGGATATTAACCGGAAGTTGATGGTTGGCACGAAAACGAATTAATTCCTGGATCTGCCGCCGCGCCAGCACAGACTCGCCATGACTTCGATCATTGTTCCCAAGCTGCAAGTTCACACGACATCGTCGACCAGCGCCAAGACGTTTGTCTTTCACGATGAAGACCACACAGTCGGCAACGCCGTGCGTTACATGCTCATGCGCAAGTATGTCCATTTGTCCATCAGGCCACTCTACCATCCTTAATGTTGTTGGCTAACTCGTTGACATTAGCCCTGACGTGAACTTTGCCGGGTACACGATTCCGCATCCGTCGGAGCCCAAGATGCATGTGCGTGTCCAGACTGTACCATGTACGCCATCATGACATCTACTACTTGCCATAAATGTTCACTCGATCTCACCTTCTTCGTGTTTGAAGCCAAATCGGCAAACCAATCGATGCGAACTGCATTGACCGACTTGAAGGCTGTGTCGGTGCACGTGGACAAGGCATTTGCGAAGGAGCTCAAGTCGTTCAAGAAGAAGCATGGCAAGCAACCATAAACCAACCACCTGCTTCCTCTCATCGCCGTACACATTCTTCACTAGAACCAGTCCCTCTTAAGTTTAACATCATTTGCATCCCATCGTTCGTTGGTTTTCATCGCTCGACGGCGACTTTGGAGTTGTGTTTTCGACGGAACTTTGCTTTGAACGTGTGTTTCATCTGCGAAAACTTGGAAATGCCGTCGCCCGTCGTGGGCACGCGCCCCCTCGCCGCCTTCAAATCCAGCGCCCTTGTGGCCGTGACCAGCGAATTCCGCAGTGTGATGACCATGCCATGCGATTCCCCAAGGTACTTGGCGGCCACGTCCGCGCCTTTGCGGTATGAGTGGATGCTCAGCTCGAGCTTCTTGAGGAACTCTTGCTCGACGCCAACGTTGTGGTATGCAATTCCGAGCACCGCAATGCGATCCAGCTGGACATTCTCCCCCTGAGTGTTGTTGTTGTTGGTGGAGAATAGTTCTTCGTGGAGTAAGATGAGCGCCGCCTGCGCTTGCTCCAGCGCGCCTTGATGGCGACCTAGTTGAGATAGCACCGCGCACATGTTGAGGTGCGTGTCGGCGCGATTGGGGACGTGCTCCAGCTTGGCTTCGATCGCCAACGCCTCGGTCAAGTGGGTCAATGCCTTGTGCAGATTGCCTTGGCGGCGGTAGTAACATGCAAAGTTGTTGAGCGTCACGGCGCGACCGGCGAGGTGGCGCTCCGTGAGGATCTCGGCCTTCTTGAGCAGTTCCAACACAATGGGGAAGTTCTCCTGCTGCAAGTACGTCATGGCGAGGAGGTTGCACATGTCGCCCACGGTCTTGCACGCGTCGCGGACTTCAGCGCTGTCGGACCCGTAGAAGTGCTGCCGCAGCACCAGCCCCTTCTCCATGCACTCCAACGCGTCCGTGTACTTGCCTTCTTGTTGCAACGACGTGCATTTCGAGTCCAGCCGTTGCAACGCGTACATTTCTTGGTCGTCCATGGCACCTTCGTCGTCCTCTGCCCCCACGTCGTGACGGTCGTCGTCGTCACCGTCATGCACTTCTTCCAACTGGAGGTCCCCTCCGCCGTCACGGATGCTGGTCATCGTGTCGCGTTCAGTATCACGAGCATGCAACTTGTTGTTTCAATCTATGAGCTAAATATAGATTCATGGCCGTTTGTTGGGGTCAGATATGTTTGTTGTGGGTGGCACAGTAGTGGTCATTTCGAAACGCCCCATCTGCCGTCACAAATACTATGCAATATATGCAGGAGGACGACCGTACGACATCATGGAGCCCTCCCCTCCGCCGCGCCTCGGCATCCGTCGGCGCCGCGTCCGTGCAGCACGAACGGATTGTGTCAATCAACCAGTGGTGGTCGGCGCTATTTGTCAAGGGCAAATTGGACCAGCTCAAGCAGTCACGGAAACCACAAGCTCCTGTCAACCACACAGTTTTACAGCAACCACTAAGCACGACGTTCAAAGTGTATTTTCCAAAGTTAGACTATACGGCGGCGTACTAAGTTATCTCAAAAATAGATTTATGTTGTCGAATGGAGCACTCGCTGCACTTGAGGTTGGCGCACAAACGTCAGCAGATTCGTTTCTATGACATGGCATCATATGAGAATATGCGTGATACTAGCATGAGAATGGCGGTGGTGGATGCACACACACACACACCTGCTTGGTCGGCCACGTCGTCGCTTGCATCCACTTTTTGCCGGGCATGGAGCTGGACAACCGTCTTGTAGCCTTCGGTGATGGCAAACAGCTACACAAAAAAGCCAATCAAAACGACTCATCCGGTGGTCTTTGCGTCTGACCTGCGCTGGACTCGGTCGTCGGAAGAAATGAGCTTCCATTTGCGAGATGGCGACGAGCGTGAGCGGCGGCGCTTCGCCACTGAGCAGCTTGGACACTTCATTGAAACTACCCACCACCTTTTGCGACATCTACATAACCAAACACACAAACCGATCTCAATGTCATCGATCGTGTCCGATACATACCTCTTTGGTGACCTTTTCCACGTTGGAAAAGAAGGATGACATGTCAAAGCCACTGGATCGCTTGGCGAGGCGGGGCCGTCGGGGGTCGTCGTGCTCACGGGCCGATTGCTCCAAGCGCCGCTTGGTCGAGTTGTGATTCTCCATGTTCGCTTCGACCGTGGCCACGATGCGCTCGCTGTTTTGAGAAAAAATAGGCTTGCATGGGGTGCCGGGGGCTTTGAAATGCAAGACGAACGACTGGTTTGCCCCGCGCTTGAGGACGACCCGCGCAATATCCTTGAGGGGGATTACTTGGTGCACCGCGGCCAGGTCGTGTTGATGCTACGTCCACGTGTGATGATGAAGAAGTTCATGCTTGACGTACATGAGTGGGGCCGGGATGCAGGATATACAAGGACGAGGGGGTGACACCCACGAGAATGGCCGTGACGACGGCGCCCGTGACGTCGTTCCCGTGAAACAGCGTGCCGGGGACATGCGCGAGAGGAAAAAGCGTGCAGTCGGATGGAAGAACTACGGCAGGAGAAGGTCGTCGTCGGGAGGGAGGAGACTGAGCGGCACTCGGAATTGGTGGTGGCGGCGGTTGCGGGTCAAACTATGCAACGATCAACATGGAGAGTCGGTGTCGAGTACGTACGCTGTGCATTTGCTTGATGAACTCGGTGACGAGCTTGGGCGCCACGCGGACAAAGTCTTGCTTCAACGGCGTCTGCAGAAGGGGTAGGTTCACATGATATGTCGATGTCGACCCCGTGGTGGATTTCGTGATGAGTTCGTGAGGGACATATATATGGGTATTGGACAGCACTTCCACCAAGTACGCATGATCCAACTCGGCAACTCGTAGATGGACCATTGGCACTATCGGAAGCATGGAACTTTGCTCGAGAAGCGGGACAAAACATTGCACGAGGACGGACGTGAACGATTCAAAGACCATCGTCACACCCGCGGCGTCGCGTTCGTCCATCTGGAGCTTCACTTGCAGCAGGAACGTTTCAACTTCTGCATCTAATCCAACCACATCAACGTCCTTGATGGAGTCGTCATATTGGGAATCGTCCATGTCCACGTCTTCCACAATCACGTCGTCTCTCACGCCTGTCGGCATCTTCACTTGTCTCTGCAAAAACTGCGTGAATAATGTCATTTCGAGAACTCAACTGGTTTTACAGGTTTATCCGGGAGAATTACATATTCATCCGGATTATTTAGTTCCAGCGGTGTAAAAATTGAGTAGCTGTAAGAATATGAATATGTCGAAAATATTTCCACAAATTTCATATTTTTATGAACTATTACTAAAAGTCTATTACTAAAAGTCTCTAGTATCGTGCGACTTCGGGAAGCACTCCGAGGATTCAGAGGATGTCGCTTGCAATGCGCCGCCTGTTGCCGCACCGCACCTCGAAGCTGCCAGGTCGGTCCCTCTTTGATGTCTTCTTTCTCAACGTTGCATGGCATGCATGAGTGCAGCCTTTGGACAACGCTGCCGGCACCTCACAGTTGTTCCGATGGCCCAAGTCTCGCCGTCCATGACAGGCGGGCGCATCACCAAGTGGACGAAGGACGTGGGTGACTTCGTGTCTTGCTACGACTTGTTGTACGAATTCGAAGTCAGCGGACTCACAGATATCGACGAAGAAGAGAACGTCACGACCAAGATGGAGCTAGAAAGCTGTGACGAAGGGTACCTCGCCGTCGTGTTCGATCCCGTGGTTCCCAACACGTGCCCAAAGATTGTTGGCGGTGGCACCCCCGTGGCCCTTCTCTGCGACACCGTTGACGAAATGCATGACGTTCAAGACCAGTTCAAGCGCCTCGGTCCCAAGGTAAGCCCTCCATCGACTTCCATCCGTCTGACTCGTCACTACTAACCTTGCATCAGATGTTGCAGAATGTGCCCGACCACAATGTCATGCCATGGCACGCATATCTTCTGGAGCCACAACGCAAAGATAACTCGTGTTGCAGCTGATATGTTAATCCTTTCATCGTTTTGTACAGTCTTCGTTATGGCCGCACTTCCTTCACTTGGAACACGTGACATGTTGCCTGACGCTCTTGCCTATTGCCTGACGCTCTTGGCTACAAATTCCTCTACCAGGGGATACACCTGCAAATAAAGAGCCATGATGAGAATGTCATGGGCAAATAGTGATGTTATGAAGTAGTAGTAGTACGCATTTTGTACTTGTGCTGGGGACGATGTCGCGGCCAGTGCTTCCCGGAGGACTTTGGCATTTGGGATGCCCACCAAGTAGCTGCCAAACATCTTTTTGACATAATGAAAACTCGTTGTTGACGCCAGCAATTGCTACAGAATGTACCCCGCTCAGCTTGGGTCTTGGTCGAATTTCACATTGCCATCAAACGTACTTCAAAGTGATACACATGACGTAGCAGCCCATGGCACTTTTGTTCGACACTCATCGACGCATTGTCATGTCCTACACAACCCCCCCCACGACAATGTACACCATCCGTCTCAGTCACCACCCAGTTCGTACCTTGAAACATCCGCGGGTTGCCAAACAGCGCTCGACCAATCATGACACCGTCGACTCCATACTCGTCGACCTTGCTTTGAGCATGTTGGATCGATTCTACGTCGCCCTAGGGACAGCAACATATATGTCTATTGTGATCACAACGACTAGTTCATGTCCAATGGTTTGCTTCTTACATTGCCGATGACGACGCAGGTCGACTGCCGCTTGTCCTTGACCAGGTGCACAATGTCCCCAATGACATCCCAATGCGCTGGGACTGCAGACATTTCGTCGCGGGTGCGGCCATGGATGGTCAGTGCCTCTGGCTCGGTGTCTAGAATGCGATTGATCCAGTCGTGGTAGTCGATGTAGTGGAAGCCGATGCGGGTTTTCACCGACACGGGCAGGCCGGCCTCTTGGCATGCACGGACAATGGCCTGTTGATAGATGATGTGTCGCGTGTTCGTTCAGGTCGTTGGTTCGGACATCGTAGAAACCAACCATGGCATTGGGCGGGTCGAGAATGAGCGCTGCGCCACTGCCTTGCTTGTTGACGTTTTTCTCGGGACAGCCCATGTTGATGTCGATGCCGTCAAACCCCAAGTCTCGAAGCAGCATCGCCGACTACACATGTGAGCCGTGCCAGCGAAGTTAGTTTTGACGATGAACCTCTCGGAATTGGTGCGGCTTGGAGCCAAAGAGTTGGGCGACGATCGGACGCTCTTCGGGAGCATATTGAAGCGCTGTGAGCATGCGGTTCCGGGACGCTTGAGACGACGAGCAGAGCGCTTCGCAACTGACAAACTCTGTCCACATGACCTGGACGAGTGGATGAGACGTCATGTTTGTAACCATGGTGTCTCTGGATGGACGTGACGGATGCACTCACATGTGGCTTGGCAAACTCTGTGATCGTAGCTCGGAAGGAAACGTCGGTGACATTGGCCATAGGCGCGACGCAGAAGAACGGCCGCGGCAAGTGCCGCCAAAATGAGGTCGGCGGCGGCACCTTCATTTCAAATTCGGAGATGCAGGCTTTTCATTGGCTCGAAATGTTTTCATTCGACGCAACGATTTGACAAAATTATGTGAGGAGGGATGTCGTGACGACCACTTTAGCATATCATGGCTACAGTACATATAAGTCTTCAAGTTGCATCTCCGGCATGCCATCCGTCGTGCGTCATATTTTGCGTGTGGACTTCATTGTTGGAGGCGACATACCATGGAGTTTGTGGAGGAATCACCGAGTCCTCCACCGACACTGGGCACAGTGGAGACTGTGGTGACGCATTTCTTCAGCGGAACCATCGCCGGCTTCACAGGGGCCATTGTGGGCTATCCCTTGGATACGATCAAGTCGCGCATGCAGACGCAGATGCACTTGCCGTCAGCAGCAACAATTGGCCGTCGAGTGACGCCATTGCAGGCCTTTGTTCACTCGATCAGGCAAGAAGGTTTCCTCTCGCTCTACCGTGGAGCATCCACGCAAGTCGCCCGCCAAGCCATAGGATGTTCCATCCTCTTTGGCCTGTTGTCCCAGTTCAAAGGGCTGTTCTACACTCCGTCGGATGGCCCTGGATCTCCGGAAGCTCACCCCCACGCCGTCTTGGCTGCATCTGCCGCATGTACAGGCATCGTCGAAGCATCTATCTATTGTCCGTTTGAAATCACCATGGTTCGCATGCAGGTAAGTCTTTACTTGAGCTACGTCTCCCTCATATCTTCGCTTAGACCCAAACGATCAAGCAATCGACATTGCAATGTGCCGCGAAAATCTACTCGGACTATGGACTTCGTCACGTATGTAACGTGCTTGGCTTCTTTACGATCTCAACCCATTCCATTAGGGTCTCTACCGAGGACTTGGACCGACGTGTTGCCGTGAAATGTTAGGCAACACCGTCTACTTTTTGTCGTACGAGCGGTTTAAGCACCTGCTCCACACCCACACCGATATGACGGAGATGCAAGTGTACGGCGTTGCCGGCGCCGCCGCTGGTCCTGTGTATTGGTGTACGAGCTTTCCGTTGGACACCATCAAGTCGGTGGTGCAGGCCGACGCAATGGACCCCCGTCGACGCAAGTACCATGGAATTCGGGACTGCGCGACACAGTTGTACCGCGAAGGTGGCGTTGGTCGCTTCTTCCGGGGGCTGTCGCCGTGCTTGGTCCGTACGATGCCTGTCAGTGCCGTCAAGTTCATGGCGTTCGAAAAGAGTGTGCAACTCATGACCCCGTGGTGGCCGTCGCAGCAGCGCACGACGAACTAGAGTCTTTGTCAATTTGAAATTCTGTTCGAGTAGGAAAATAAATAACCCCCTTTGATTGGTGGGTCGAAAATTTAATGGCCAATTGAAACGGACGATGTATTCAGATTTTGAGAAAAATAGCAAAATATCAGCCAACCGTGCAAATGGTCAAATTTCACGACAGCATTCAAACCGAAACGCCGAGGCAGGTTTCAAGATGGTAGAGGAGTCGAGCCCCATAGTCCTGGGCAAGGTGCAAACAGTGATCACGCACTTCTTCAGCGGTACAGTGGCCGGTGTCACAGGCGCAGTGGCAGGCTATCCATTGGACACGATCAAGTCGCGCATGCAGACGCAGATGCACTTGCCATCGACCACCGCGGGAAGTCGCATCACGCCACTGCAAGCGCTTGTGCATTCCATTCGGCAAGAAGGTTTCCTCTCGCTCTACCGCGGCGCCTCCACCCAAGTCGCCCGTCAAGCGATCGGGTGTTCCATTCTGTTTGGGCTCATGGCGCAGTTCAAGTGGTTGTTCTACACCCCGTCGACTGGTGTCGGGTCCGCCGAAGCCCATCCCCAAATTGTTCTCGCCGCGTCTGCCGCGTGCACCGGCGTCGTCGAGGCGTCCATCTACTGTCCATTCGAAATCACCATGATTCGCATGCAGGTAGGTACAATTATCCCACTCCCACATTTGAGTCTGCCGCAACCTCAGGCTCGGACTTGTTGACGATAGACACAAGCGACGACAAGCCAAACGACGTCTCAATGCGCGAGGCAGATCTTTTCGCAATATGGCCTTCGCCATGTACGACCACTAATCCTCTTGACATGTCCTAACGAGGCAGTGAAGGGGCTATACCGCGGGTTCACACCCACTTGCTGTCGGGAAGTGGTCGGCAACACCGTCTACTTTTTAACATACGACCGCGTCAAGGACCAATTGCAAGCCAAGACACAGCTAACCCCCATGCACGTGTACGGCACGTCCGGCGCCGTGGCCGGGTTCGCCTACTGGTGTGTGAGCTTTCCGCTGGACACGATCAAGTCCGTCGTGCAGGCCGACGTGCTCGACCGCCGCCATCAAAAATACCTCGGAACCATGGATTGCGCGTCGAAATTATACCGCGAAGGCGGTGTGGGGAGGTTCTTTCGAGGCCTGTCGCCGTGTTTGCTGCGTGCGATGCCCGTGAATGCCGTGCAGTTCATGTCGTTTGAGAAAACGGTCGAGATGCTCACGCCGTTGTGGCCACATAGTTGGAGGACGAGCCAGGATGCACGATAAGGCATAAACCCAGCATCACAAGAATCCATGGCTGTCGATTTCAAGAGGGAAAACATTACTATGGGCTTGGCATGGGTCCTCCACAGGCAGTGTTTAAGCTGCGAGCACTCGTACCCGTATGCATACATTTGCAGTACAAGTAGGAGTCTAATGCAAGCACTCACGACAATACGCTGCACAACGAACGTCCAAGCCACCTCCTGCTAAATCCCCACCAGAAGCGAGCGATACGTGGCCGTCAATGTTAATAACGCCATAGGCATGCAATACTGGCGAATCTATCGCATCCGTGGAGGCTTCGACGGCCCTTATTGGAACTGTGGATGTGGATGGATGGTCAAGGGGATTCTCCAAGAAAGACCGTCGGTGACTCGCATCTTTCGTGATGATGTTATCAGGAACATGCGGATTTCATCCGGATAAACAACGAGGAATATGAAAGATCGCTCAATTTGGATTTCATCGCTTTGGACTCAACCATGTTTCGCGCCGTCCAATCTCGTTTGCAGAAGCTACCAACTCGTGCGCGTATGCTGTCGACCGCAGGTCCAGACGGCACCGCGTATGCCCGATCTACGTCCGTGTTCCACTGGGTGGTGGCTGGCGTATTTGGCGGCGTTGTAGGTACTGTGAAACTGGCCCAAAACACGACGGACAAGGTGGAGAAGCTCCGTCTGATGAACCTCCATAAGTCTCTCGCGGTGATTGCCGCTGTGCTCGTTCCTGCGCGGATTGGTACCCGACTGTTGACTCGATCGCCGCAAGCGTTGGCTGGGCCAAAATGGGAGCAACTCCTTGGCTCTGCGTCCCACCTTGGGCTTTATGGGCTCATGATTGGGTTGCCAAGTTCGGGCATTGCAATGGGCTACTACAGCGGGTTCGGGATTCCTTTCTTTGGCTCAAGAATCCCTGGAGCTGAAAAGCCCGACAAATCCATCTCTGGCCCCGCCTACAGTGCGCACAAGACGATGGGTCAAGCCCTCGTGTACTTCGTTCCATTGCACGTTGGGGCAGCGTTCTTCCACCACTTTCGAGGCGCTCAGATCTTTCAGCGCATCAACCCTTTCAAGGCGTCAAAGTAAGCACTCCTAGCGCAGATAACTTTCAAAAGTCAGCTTGGTGCTAGAAAATTATGGTAACGTGATCGACCAGTGATGGGCCTATTTTTTTCTTTTTTCTTTCGTGAATTCCTCATGAAGTATATACTACGTAGTATCCTATAGCGATGTGTTGGATGTAATCTGAAAGAGCACGTCAAGATCTGTCACATACACCTAAACACAATGGATTTAGACAGTTCGCGATGACGTAAATAATTTCGCAAGTTGCAAAATTTACATTGACGACCAGTGATGGGCCGAATTTTATACTTGAATTAAGTATCGATTAGGGTTGTGTAAAAAACTGGCGAGCAGACTGGAAATTATCAAATGATAAAGGTATATTATATTTGAACAGGAATAAGATATTGCGGAACTGTACTGCACATTCTCACTTTTTCGGACACAAAACCGTACCACGTGGCAATGTTCAGCAGGTGGGTCAAATACCCACATGTTTTCGAAGTGTCCTGTCAAGAGGGACGAGGAAAGAACCAAACGTAGATGAGCGGTACAGTATGTAGGACGTACTAGTAGATGAGCGAGGATAACGTAGGCGAGCGGTGGAATAGTGCCGAACGTAAACCAGCCAACAAGTACATCCTATCCCTGTGTTTATCGACCTCGTCAAAGCGGCCATGTTTGTACGTCGGCACGACGCACACTACAGTGTAC